GCCCACACCACTGAGAAAACCCTTCCAGTGGTGCAATCCACGAAATCTGTGACAAGCTGTAAACTGTGATATCGCAAAAATGTAAAAGAACGTTCAATTTGAAGAAGCTCTAACCATACCACGAATAACGTGATCACAATTTGTTCTCGCATTCTGTTTCAATTGGTCAAAAAGTTGTTCTTCTTCACCGCGTGTCAAAATGTTCATCTTTTAGGATAACTAATATGAATAAATGCACGCGCCTAAAATTTATATCATAATGTTACACAGAATATCACTATTCCAGATGAACTGGAATGTTAACTATCAGTAAGAACAGAAGTTACCATACTAATTTACAATACTATTATCGTCTATGGAATCTATACCAAGTAAACAAGATTTACCAGTTAAAAACTGGAAATTTTGTTTAAAGGAAAACAAAATTTTTCATGCAGGTTTATTTTAATAACAAATAAGTATACAGCATAAATTTTTATTTTTATACAATTAAGATTAATTATAGAAAATTAAAATCGCATAGACATACATAAACTCGCATATAATTAGTACAATGGTGTAAAATTGAATAATTTAAATATGCATATTGTAATTTATAAAAAAAATTGATTTTTTAATTTAAAAATATAATATACAGCGTATTAAAAAAGTCTTTAAACAACATTTTTTTATTTTAATTTAATAAATATATATTTAATTAAAATAAAACTTTAAAATATATTTTTTATAATATAATAAACAAAATACTAAAAAAATTTTATTAATTAATTAATAAATTTATTTAAAAAAATTAATTTAACCTATAAAAAAAATTATTAAAAAATATTTTATTTTTTATAAATAAATAAATATATATAATTATAGTTGAAAAATTATAAAAAAAAATTATTATGTAATTATTTCTTTTGTTTTATTTAATAAATTCTTATTTTAAAATAATTTTATTGATTTTTTATAATTTTTTATAATATTTTTGAAGTTTTGATTTTTTATTAATTTTTTTATCTAAAATTTAAAATCAATAATATTGTTATAATATATATATAATTAAAAAACTTTTTTAAATAATTTGATTTTTTATATTTTCAAATATATATATTTATTTAATTTGTTAATTTTTGATTAAATTATATATAAACAAAAAATAATATTTCAAAATTTATTTTTTTTTTTTTTTCAGGTAAAAGATACTTTGTGCATATATATTTTATTGAGTTATTTATATCCAATTACATATATATTAAGGTCCATTTAAGTTAACCTCACTCTACACCTATAGACTTATCCAATGTACCAATTGAATACTATAATAATAGATCCATACACTAGGTGGAATCTTTAGAAAATAGAAATTCTACTATTAGTTTTAAACTATTTAATCTAATCTAGATCCTGTCTCAACTGTATTTGTCATGAAAGAGATATAATTATTACCTTTTAGGGATATCTTTTGTAAAGTATCTGAATATTACCTTTTAAGGATATCTTTTGTAAAACATCTGAATATTTCTATATATTTTTTTTTGTTCACAACCTTGAAGAAAGTAAGTCACTTTTTAGACCTATAGGTCTATAGCACAGTTGTAGTGCTCCATAGGTTACCAAGAGAAGGTCTAGGGTTCAATCCCGCCTGGTTACAAAAAATTTATCACCTTTATGATTGATTGACCGGCTTCCAATTCATGTCATATTCAATTAGCCGACAAATCTACTTTTAAATTTAGTTAAGCTGCATGAAGATGGGACCTCTGGTCTTCCCAACGATCGCGGGCTGAAAACAGGTCAAAGCAAGGAAGGTTGCATGAGAAAAGACTTCTGGTCTAACTCTAGTAATAAGCCCACAAAACTCTAACCCAAAACTGGCGACGGCAGATTCCGTCACACAACATAAAGAGGTTAATTCTAAGCTGATCTATCCCAATCTGGAGCTTGTAGATCTATCCCAATGGTG